GCCAATTATGCATAGATTCCTCAAGTCAGTTTTCCCACCAACTTTGCACATGTGACACTATATAAAATGTTTGTACCTACTATTAATAACATTTGCAATGTCTTATCGATGTCTGGAATGTCAAACTGTGCAATCTGCTTTTAAGAAATTATGTTGTACGGCCATCCATGATAAGTGACAGTGTGTCATTGCATCATGATCTTAAATTCCATCCACTTTCTTATGCCTTTACTATTTTATTATTTTTAATTTATAATTTCTTTTTCTGTTTTTGTACGTCCTCGCTTTTTTTTTGTACTTACAGCCTTTTTCGGTTATGATTGCACCAGAGTACAAGAATATAAGGAATGAGAATTCTGTCATTAATATTCTTGTCAATAAACCTTAACCGTTTACACTCAATGTTAGGACCCACTACGTGGGCGAGGCATTACAAAATTCATAAACGAGGGCGAATTGGATTTATTGAACTAAAAGATCCAGTGCCCTACTATTACTACACTACTGCAGTACATTAGCACAACAAATATTTTCTCATTTTAAATTTATCTTTTCAGGTATGTCACCTTTTCCCTTCCTTTAGAGTTTCTGCCATTATTTACCAGCTAAAAGTTACGGAGCATTATGAGAGTTGACCTGACTTTCGAACGAGCAACAATTAACTGTGCACATCAAAAACAATTAGGCCTTATAATAATGATTAGAGTTGCATAAACAGTATTGCTGGATGATGGAGTCTTATAACCTTATGGAACACTAAAAAAAGTGAAGTAGTAGAATTACTGGACCACAGGTTCTGTCAATATTAATAAAATATGGGCAATGTGGAGAAAAGAGTGTCAACATAAATAAAAAAAAGACATTAGTTAAATCCAAATTAGTTAAATACGAACGTTATGAAGATGTCATTACTTATGAGAATATCATTAAAAGATGTCATTAGTTATCAGAATGTTATAGATGTTATTAGTGATGAGTATGTATTTCAAGTTCATCATTTGTTTTATGCAAGAGATTGTTTTTATACGCCCACATTTTCAGTTGTATGTATAATTAAAGGTTTAGTTAACATCATTTTCTCTGATTATTTTAAATGCACAAATAATACCAATAAACACATAAAGTTGAAATGTTTTGTTTTTTTACAGTAAAATGAAAATGATTTCTGGCAACAGATTTATTACCAGAATATCCTTTTTAAAATTCTGTTTTTTTACAGAACTGGAAGGAAAAATTCCGGCAGCAGATTTACCAGAATATTCTTCCTATTTTTCTGTTAAATTACAGGAAATATTAGAAAAATTCCCGCAGCTGATTTACCAGAATATCCTTCCTATTTTCTGTTAATTACAGGAAATATTATTAGTCATTCTGTAATTTAACAGATTTTGTAGTAAAATATTTCTGTTATTTAAAGCAAATATTTTACAAGAAATTCTGTTATATAACTGAAGGCAAAATTTAAATTCTGGTAAATCAGCTGCCGGAATTTTTTCTGTTAATGGAAGGAAATTTTTTTTACAGTGTAGTTGGACAAAATGAGCGGGAAATGGACAGCAAAATAGATGACATAGAGAAATAGTGTTTTTGCATAAAATATTCCCCCTTTAATCTTTATAAATTTCGAAATCTGTAATGAGTGTTTCAAATCTACATGTCTTCCAATTTGTCGATCACATGACCTCAAGTTGGCATCACATGACAAGTCAGATGTTTGCAGAATGTTGGTGAAATATTGTGAATCTTGTTTTCTCCTCTATATATACTGGAGAACATTTTTACATCTCCCAGCAATATCAAACAAAAATACCTTGGTTAGTCTTACAAAACTTATAGGATGTTTTATTACAATAATAACATATATAAAATAATTACAAAAAAAATTAATTAAACATCTTTATTAGAAATCCAGTTAGCAAAGGTCATCTTCTCTAGAATCTACTAACCAACCTCTAAAGAGCAAAATTATATTTTTATTATTAGTATAACTAATATGTTATTTTACCTTTTTTTGTATATAACAAATAACATAAAATAAAATAAAAATATTCAATAAACAATGTACAACATACACTATAACATATACTATAAACCATGTTAGCTTATGCGGTTATTTATTTTAAACTACTACATGTAAATGCTATTTTATCATGTTTCGTGAAGTAATTATCTGTTACCAAGTTGTAATATTATTCATTATAAGATAATAAATATATCTTGAAGTAATTATCTCTTACCCAGTTGCAATATAATTTATAGTAAAATACTAAATATATCTTGAAGTAATTATCTGTTATCCAGTTGTAATATAATTTATCATATAATACTAAATATAATATTATTTATTTTAAAATACTAAATGTATCTATTCTTGAAGTAATTATTTGTTATTTGAAATCCCGGAGTAAACTGTAAAATACAGAAATAAAAAATTGGAATTGTAATCAGTTCGCTTATTGATTAAACTACTTCAAAACTTAATGAACAATACTACTGTACTTCATACCGAATGTGGTCTGTACAATTTAAGGTAAAACATTTCTACTTAAAACCTCTTTTTTCGCACGTCGCTAAAATCATGATGTTATAATTCACTTCACTTATAATAGTGTTATACGATCAGAAGAGTTATGCTTACCTCTAGTTTGTGACCTCAGATTAGCATAATATGGTGTAACATATTCACCTCTTCTCCTCTGATTCACTTCTGTATTGTTATAGTGTACCATGTCGTTAGTTTGTGGTGAGTTTGTATTAGGTATTGTGTCCAGTTCTTGGTAAGTTTGAGTATCATCTATAGATTATAATAACTTAAGTGTTCTGACAACTTTTTTTTAAACTATTAAAAGAACAAAGTCATCAAACACGAAAAATTTTCACCAAAGTGTTTTAGTCTGATATTACACAGTACACACTAATGAAAATATAACAAATTGCTTAAATAACTTACTCTTCGCGAGCCTTTGAAATGAATCAGCCTCTAACCCTTCAGGTAGCAGATATTCTACACCATACTAAATTCTCGAACAATTGTTAGAAATTAATGTGAACTTTTCACTTCGTTAAGGGTCTCTGTCAAATGTCGGATCCCGCTAATACCAAAATAGCCGATCATTAAAGTTTTGCCAAACTTTCCGTCGGATAATCAGATTATCAAATCAAGGAATTATTCTTTATTCCGGTATTTGTAGTTTTCACTGAAGCGAGCGAATCCTGATGAAGTGATGTCTGTATAAAATATATTTGCTTAATTTGAATTTTTAATTTTCAGGCAGCGAAATCAGCTTCTATCAATATCCCACATGAAATGTATCGCCTTTTAAATAAATAAACAATTGAGTATACGACGTCAATCAAGGTAATAAGGCTTCAGTGAAAGGTTAGATGGCATCCATCGTGTTAAAAGAGTATTTACAAGAGATATTATATTTGTTTTGTTCTTTTCTCAATAATGATATTATATGATAGGATGTGAAAAATTCTTACCAGCCCTTGTTCTCGTATTAAAACTGTCATACCTACATAAATATTGATAATTATAATAAGCTAAAGTGCTAATCAGTTTCAGCTTTCAAAATGCAAATTTTTAAAGTCTTAAAAAATTCAATTGCGTCGAATTCCATTGGCATTCATCCATTTCTCCTGAGAATGAGTAATGTTCATGGTGTAACTGTAAGACTGTTATGATGCATAATGTCTATCGTATTAATAATTTTAATGACTTACGTTTGGTCAGATTTTTGTCTTTTCCCTAAAATATAAATAATAACCGACATGATTTTCAGCTATATCTATGCCATTAGTCATAAATGAAATGGGGACTAGAACATCAAGTAACAAGGCGAAAAATGACATAGATATCCAACCTGAAAACAGAGGCGTTTCGACGGCGGATTGTGCACAAGATGCACCCGTCACGGTTACGGGTAAAGACTCATTCAAGATCAACACACTGTATGTTCAATATTATATTTTGATGAACATTGTTCAAGATATACCTGTCCAATATCTGTAGATATATATTGACATAATAACCATCACTACTAGAGCTATAGCTAAACTTAATCCTATTCCAATACCAGCACCAATTCCACTGTTATATCCACTGTTGTAATCATTAGTAAATCCAGACCCTGTAAGAAATACAGCTATACAAGGAAATAGACATTGTATCGGGCCGTAATAGTTTTAACTTAACAAATATTCGAATTACACACTGTTATATATGGTTACTTCTGGATATTAGGTATATCAATATGTCAATATATTTGGTTCAGACAACATATTTATATTTGATCACATGCATATCTCATTTCCTGAATTAAATATAATTCAGATACATTACCTTGTCTCGGTGCTGTTTTTGGGTGTCCTCTTTCGAACAAGGTACTGATTAGACTTTCACCATATTTATTACTAGCTATCACTCTTATATAATAACTAGTATCTGGTTCTAATCCTTCTATACAATAGTCAACTCGACCATTATTGCTACCATCTGGAATTGTGGACGAATTGACCCATGTTTTATCATCAGTAGAATGTTGAACTATAAAACTCCATAATGCTCCACCATTAAATCCTGGTGTCCATTCAATACAAATTGTATCTGTAGTCTTACTTATTAAAGTTATGCCTTGTGGACTATCAGGGACAGCTGAAAGATAAATTGAAATAGTTACTATGACAGTAAATCACGAGTTCAAGTTTCCCTACATTTACTATTTTACATTTTACTATTACAACCTGTTTATCACAAACGAATAATTAATTTGAACTGTACTAAAGTACTAAACTTACTCTCAGATATAAGTTGAAACTGTAAACTATTACTCAGTCCATCATCATTGGTAATATTTAAATAATACTGTCTGTACATCTCCTTTGATGTTATATTTATTCTTAACACAGATCTTTAACTGTTTATAAATCGCTGATATTGATAGCATTTAAGCCCTTATTGGCGAATTTAATCTTAAGAAAGGAGTTGCACACATGAGGAGGTTGATTAGGAACGTCTTTTGACATCATTTGATGTTATATTTATTCTTAACACAGATCTATAACTGTTTATAAATGTTTGATTGTTGATAACCAAATATGGTTCTTAATTCCCAATCATTATATCACTGCAACTATCTTTATAAAACCATTGAAAATTAGCACCAGGATAGGAAATAATATCTGCTGTTAATTCAACTGTTTCTCCAATATTACCAGATACTTTTAGTCTGTGATCTTCTCTTGCATCTAATCGTGGTGAACCTACATAAATATACAAACAGTAAATATTAATAAACATAGTGAACCTATATAAACATACAGGCGGTAAATTAATATATACTTACAGTGTACAAACAGTTCCGATGATTTAGTTTTCTGATTTGTATAAAAAGGGTTTGTAGCTAAACAGGAATAATTTCCAGTGTCTAAACAGGATGTTGATGATATAAAGTAGATATTTGAATTTGTTGTGTGTAATTCTACATCACCATCTTTAAACCATTTGATAGAAGCTGGTGGGTTACTATCAACAGTACATCTAATAAAGACATCATCATTTAGTTTAGTTTGGTTGGTGGTTATTACTATATCATCAAAATCTGAAATAAACAATGGTATAAGACCTGTTTTATGAAAATTGAACTGATATTAGAGATTTTTAAACATGAGAATATATTTATCTAATGATTAAGTAAAAATGTAAATAGGGCCGTGAAACATGATTGTTTACATAGCAGACCGTCTATTTGCTACATTGACGTCAATAAATAACGAAGTTGATTAAAATTACTACGCTCAATATTTTGGTGATGAGGTAATGAACTTTATTAAGATATAATCGCCAGACGAATTTGCATTAGTCAAATGGAAAGAGTAATAGTTAATGGTAATTGACTCACAATGAACATTTATGATATAAGATTGACTGTGAGTCTGTGGTAAAATATCACCAATTGTAGGATGTAGATCTAATCTTGATGTACAGGTATAATTATCTGACTTGCTACGATTGATATCATTAATAACTAAATCTCTTCTATTAGCTCCAGAATTAACCACAAATTGATTTGGTACAATATCACCATTAGATTGATACCATACTATATCATTGGTTGGTGGATTAGATTTTACTGTACAATTTATTATTAGATTCTCTACGTGCGTTTGTGGAGAAGTAGGGTCACATCGGGTCATGAGGAAATGTCAGGTTAATTCAACTTCAGCATACAACTTACAATTATAAATGTAATAAAACTCTTAATTTTTTATTGATGAAACTCTATTCTAAAAATAACTCATAACTATATATTTTTATTAAAAAGGCATTTCTTTTGATTTAAATGATGTTCATTTTCAATTACCAATGTACAAAATTGAAAAATATTACTGAATATTAACTGTAATCTTAAAACAAAATTAACTGATAGTGATCAGGCATATCTGCAGGAGTACAAGGCTATTTGTATAAATCGTCTTCTTGATCACATTGTCAGATTTCATTAACTAACAAAATTAATTCAAAATAATATACAAAAGTCACAATACATAATAATAAACCATAAACCAATACAATAACATATGTGCTCATGTTTAATTGTAAATATTTGGTAAAAATCAAACGACTAGCCTATGTCTTAGCAAAGTAAAAACATTTTTGAATTTTTTCTATTATTTTTAAGAGAGTTGGATTAGCATCCTCAAAATAGTACGGTTAATCTTTGCTTTCATAAAAATTTACATGAACCTTAAAGGGGCATTCCCCAATCCCCCACGCCACTGGTCATGTGTTCCTTATTGACATTGCGCCTAATATAAGTGTGCCCAAATGAACGTGCTCCTTAAAGAAGTGTACCTAAAGTACTGTGTCTAACTGTATTGTGCTTTAAGTATTTATGCCTTCATGACAGTGAACTCAATTTTCAGTCAAAATTTGTGATTGGTTGAAATATCTCGGAGGCAAATGAATGTGCTTCTTTTCAATCTAAACTTACAAAAAGATATATTTTTATCAACATAATCTTAAAGACATTCTAAGACTTACAGTAGGCCTACTATTTTGAAGCTGATACTACGATTCACTTAAAAAATATACAAAAAAATCAAAATCAGACAATAAGCATGCCTGTCTGTGTCACAAGTTAGTGTGGAAAATGATTTATTCCATTGCAATAATTTTGAGAGAATACTGAATTTAAGCCCTTTATTTTCTAAATTATTTTTCGATTAATTTTCCTAAAATATTCCCCCTGAGACCTAGGTCTAGTCTAGATGGACCTGGCCTGAGATTTCACAATCATAAAATATAAAAGCGGAATGGATTTTCTTTTTTTTAAAGAATAAATATTCAACATTAATTTATTTGGTGGTATCTCAATGAGCTGTTGCTATAACCAAAGATAATATAATCAAATTTAACATTATGTTATCAGGCATAATTTTGTTGAATATGTTTATTGACATTCGTCCATTGGTTGACCTACTTCTTCATTTTCCATTTTTCTGGGAACTTAAAGGCGATGATCGCCAGCTGAAGTCTGGAACTGTAGACCTATGAGTCTATCCTATTGGCCTGCGTAAATTAGTAAAACAGAAAGGGACCAACCTTCGTCTAATAATCGCTAGTCACACAAAGAAAATCATAATTTCGACTTACATAACAACGTGTATCATGTTGATAAATATTTGAACTTCTTGAAAATATTATTATTTGAATTAATTAAGAAAATGTTCATTCATAACTTACTTCTTATGCCATCAATAAATTTGACAATAAAATTTATGCCGAAACCGGAAATAAAGCGTGAGCGTAGAACTTCGCGCATGCGTGCCAAGCATAAATCGTAATTTGACCATAGTCCAACCATAGAACTGTATAGATTCTATGGACTAATCTCCGCTCGCCTTCAAGCGTAACGTCACGTGACTTAATAGGCGAATCGCCAACTAGAACGTTAGCCCCACCTATTAAGTCACGTGACGTATACGCTTGACGACGAGCAGAGGTCAGACAAAAATGTCACAACAACGTGTCTTTAACGTTAGTGCGAGTGCTGTCCATAATAAAATTGAGTGCTGTCCATAATAAAATTTATTCGTCCGGGTTTGTCTTTGATCCGCTTTGTCTTGTATGCGGTATTTCGGGTGATGGCAAGTTTTATTCCACTAGCAAATGAAATGATTGGAGTATTTCGTTCTACATTTTGTACAATGGGCAATGAAGACGGAATTCGCCTATAGATTTGCCACGCTTTGTTTTCGTTATGATTATTTATTTATTTTTTTTTTTTTGGAAACGTCCCTAGACAAAATCGAAAATGGTATAGCATAATTGTTTTTAAATGACCTGGAATCAAAAATGAATATCTAAAACTCAATTTTTGCGAAACCGGAGTATTTTGCATCAAGTCTGTAGGGCTTATTTATGAACGATTTACCTGAAATTTTCTTTAATACGTTCATTCTTATAAGACGTATCTGGTGAGGCTAAAAAAAAATCAATTTTTAAATATTTTTGTCAAAATAATTTGAATCCAAAATTTTCAAAAAAGCTCAAAATTTCTAACTCAGCCGCTAATTATCCGATTGATCTGAAATTCACAGGACATATACAGAATGTCCATACAAATAAATTTATACAATCAAAATTTTTCTATCACTTCCGGTTTTTGCGTGAGAACTTCCGGTTTTTTTAAATCACGCCTGTCACCCCCACTTCCGGTGTAAATTTCAAATGTTGGCAAAAACCATATATATTGTCTGTCAGTCATAATTAGAATGTACTTAGCAGAAAAAAATCCAAACCGGAAGTGATGCATAAGCCGTCGCCTCGGACTGACCCATTTTAGCAAAAAATTAATTAGTCCTCCATTTTTCATCCCATTTTTATGATTTTGGTGTCTATTAAAACCTTGTAACCTTGTCTACAGTTTGGTGGAACAGAATTTTGAATTTCGAATTTGAATTTTTTGAAAATTCAAAAGGCCACACCATGTGACCTTGACCTTCGATGACCTTGAAAATTTCACTGTAGGATGTTCTTGACCTCAGCTATCAACAGGTGTACTCATATTGGTTGAAAAATATTAACTTCCGGTTTAATAGCCATTCAAAAATTAACATTTTTGACAACTTTGGACGACTGTATGACCTCTTCTAATAAACACAAAATTATTTTTTTTCAATTTTGTAATTCCCTTTTGATTATCTTTTCAATGATATATGACAATAATCAATTAAAATATGTTTTAAAAATATTGGGTTTTTTTCGACTGAAGGTTCTAACTTACAGTGTAATTAACTCCTAGCAATATGGTTTGTATATTCAGGATCTACTCAATTTTCTCTTTTCAACGATATGTGACATGGGTGGTTTTGAATTGAATTTGTGTAAATAGGCATAAAAATGTTAAATGTTTAGAAAAAATGTGATAAAAATCTGTAGATTTAAAGAGTTAAAACATTACAGGGTCTTACAACACAAGATTTTACGGAAAAAAACATATATTGTGATGAAAAAATTGAATCGGCATTAGGAGCAATGGATACTTTTTTAAAACCCGAAAACGAGACCATATCAACTGATACTAATATAATTTTACACAATGTTCAGGGTTTATCTATTCATATAGAGGATTTACAGAAACACAGGAAAATGCTAGAAGGTGATATCATTTGTTTCACAGAAACATGACTAAATAATTCAATAACTCCAGCAAAACTAAAGTTAAATGGTTTCCGTCTTCACCACCATCCTCGAAGCAACAGCTATGATGACACTAGAGATTTCAAATTTTTGAAAGAAAAGGGGCACGGAGGAGTAGGAGTATATTATAAGCAAAACAAAATGTCAACATTTTAAAATTGGGAGTTTTAAATATAGAACACATTGCTTTAAATATTTTGGATAAAAATATTAACGTAATTGTTATCTATAGATCACCCGTTTATCGAATAGATTTATTTCTCCCAATGTTAGAAAGATTATTAGTTGAATTACAATAATCTGGTTCAGACTATGTTATTATGGGGGATTTCAACCAAAATATCTTGGAGGGCCATTTGTCTATACTAAATTGTTTTCAAAAATTTGGTTTTCAACAACTTGTTCAGCACTACACTACTGAAGGTGGGACACTTATAGATCATGTTTATATCAGTAAAGAAATTCCGTCACATAATGTTCACATTTCACACATACCTGTATTTTATAGCTACCATGAAGCTATTAAAATAACCATACGATAAGTTATATTGATACAAGATTGAATTTACCCTTTCACAAAACATTTCATTTAGCTTGTCTCTATACTAAAAATGGTCGAGTCAACACCGGGCTTGAGAGGGTTTGAAGTTCAAAAAAGTCTTACAGCTATCTTAAGACATTTTTGTCTGACCTCTGCTCGTCGTCAAGCGTATACGTCACGTGACTTAATAGGTGGGGCTAACGTTCTAGTTGGCGATTCGCCTATTAAGTCACGTGACGTTACGCTTGAAGGCGAGCGGAGATTAGTCCATAGAATCTATACAGTTCTATGGTTAGACTATGGTCAAATTACGATTTATGCTTGGCACGCATGCGCGAAGTTCTACGTTCACGCTTTATTTCCGGTTTCGGCATAAATTTTATTGTCAAATTTATTGATGGCATAAGAAGTAAGTTATGAATGAACATTTTCTTAATTAATTCAAATAATAATATTTTCAAGAAGTTCAAATATTTATCAACATGATACACGTTGTTATGTAAGTCGAAATTATGATTTTCTTTGTGTGACTAGCGATTATTAGACGAAGGTTGGTCCCTTTCTGTTTTACTAATTTACGCAGGCCAATAGGATAGACTCATAGGTCTACAGTTCCAGACTTCAGCTGGCGATCATCGCCTTTAAGTTCCCAGGAAATGGAAAATGAAGAAGTAGGTCAACCAATGGACGAATGTCAATAAACATATTCAACAAAATTATGCCTGATAACATAATGTTAAATTTGATTATATTATCTTTGGTTATAGCAACAGCTCATTGAGATACCACCAAATAAATTAATGTTGAATATTTATTCTTTAAAAAAAAGAAAATCCATTCCGCTTTTATATTTTATGATTGTGAAATCTCAGGCCAGGTCCATCTAGACTAGACCTAGGTCTCAGGGGGAATATTTTAGGAAAATTAATCGAAAAATAATTTAGAAAATAA